CGGTTAAATTATAATTTCAATTTTAACGCTTACATGTTGAAGAGGGTAAATCCGTTGACAGGTCTTTTCAATGGCGATGATTTTTTTAATAATAACAATAATAATATACAAAGTCATGAAGTCGTTGACTCTTAAATCAATCATTTTTCATATCAAAGTTGATGCCTTTTCAATGTAATACATTAATTACATCACTCTAAGCCTGGTATGAAGATGCGCTAACATTACCTCCGTGACCTGTCCAATTGATGTGAACGTCGGTGTTCTTGGGGTGATCTTCGTCATCATACTCATCGAGATATTGGAAAGTATGGGCTCCGAAGTAATCCCTCATTGCCTGAAGTAGACTCGCAGGTAGCCTCTCATGTCTATACCCGTCATAAAATGACAGTGCGGTGGACAATGCCGGAGTTGGAATTCCGAGCAAAACTGCCTCCGAAACGACCCGACGCCAGGAATCCTGAGCAGTGTCAATAGCCTCCTTGAAAAATGGATCAAAAAGTAGATTCTCAAGGTTTGGATTATTGGTATATGCGTTTTTGATGTCACCAAGAAAAGCGCTAAAAGATGTTTAGGATTAGTGTCGTGTGGGTGTGTGGAACTGACAAGCTAAAATCCTACAAGAATGGCGACGACAAGAAAACGACATAGCTTACCTGCGAATGATGCAACCACCCCGCCACATTAGGGCAATGCCAGCGTAATTCAAATTCCAGCTATTATCCTTTGCTGCTTCACGCATGAGCATGAAGCCTTGAGTATATGAAATTATCTTGGAAGCATACAACGCTTTGCCCAATTGTTTGACAAAAGTTCTCTTGTCTCCAGAAAATTTGACACTTTGAGGGCCTTTTAAAATTTTGCCTGCGCGAATACGTTCGGCCTTCAACGCCGATAGTGCACGAGCGTAGACAGCCTCGCCAATGAGTGTAACGGGAACACCAAGGTCAAGTGAGGATATGGCGGTCCATTTGCCGGTTCCTTTCTATTTAAATAAGATATCGGGTTTGTTAAATCCTTTATATATATTCCGTGAACCCATTCATTCACAGAACCTTACCTGACCAGCAACATCCTTGATCTTTTCAATTATAGGCGTACCATCTTTGTCCTTGAATCTCACAATGTTTGTGGTGATTTCTATCAAGAATGAATCAAGCTCTCCTTTGTTCCATTCTTCAAAGACGTCCCCGAT